CTCTAAAAATTTATTTTTTAATCTCATTTTCTTCATTTCTTTTTTTTTAAAAAAGTAGAATTAAAAAAAAATTTTTTTAGGGGGTCCGGAACATAAAAATTACCCAGTATATTACAGTCCAGCAAAATTGGACGATGAAAATTTAAAAAAAACTGAACACCTGTATTGAGTATAAGATCATTTTAGGTCAAATTTAATAATCTTTCCAAAAAACCCTATAAAAAACTTTCTACGATAATTTTGAATAGAGTTATCAACTTTTAAAGACGGTCGTGTTTTTAATAATATTTTAATATTTTTACAAGTGATCGCACAATTTTTTGACTTTTTGACTATAGCATAAAATGCAAAAGTCAATGTCAGTCCTTTGCTAAGTGTAAAAAACTATAAATAGTTCAAAAATAAATAAAAAAGATAAGATAACCATTTTGTATATTAATTCCAATTAAATAATGTCATCTGTTTTCTTTCAATCAATTGATTACATTTAATTTTTAATCTATTACAACAACTTAATATGTTTCATGTCAATCATTTAAATAATAAATTTTACCAATCGATAGAACTAATAACATTACAGTATATCCAGTATTAAAAAGTTTTTCAAAGGCAATACAATAGTATAAGAAAATTTTAACAAAGTTTTTTTTTATACATTTCGTGTTAAAGAAATTATATTTTAGAACTAATACTAATTTTATAATTAAATATCAATTATATTATCTTGAAAATATTCTCAAAAAGAAAAAAAAAAAAAAATTTTTTATAATCAAAAGTACAAAATGCATTTTTCTAAAGAAAGTAAAATTTTTACAGTTTCACTTGCAAAAATGTCGACATTTAAATTAAAAAATTTTGCAAAACAACGTGCGGAAGAAAATTTAATTCGCGATTTAAAACCAATTTTACAAGTAGCTCGTATTTTTGGCATTGCTCCTTATACAATAAATAAAAGAAATTTCACATGGTCTAAAAATGCTCTAATATATTCACTAATAATTTTAATTTTATCTTGTTATATATATATTCAAAGAATTCGATATTTTCTAAATGAAATTTCAGTATTTAAAGTTCAACTATTGTATATTATAATTATGATTTCTTCAGCAATATGTATAGTTGCGGATATTTTAACTTGTATATTTTGTGATAAAATGCAACAAGAATTTTTAAATTACATCATACAATATGATGTGTCAACGAGATATGAAAATTATTTTAAAAATAAATTTGCATCATTAAGTTGGATTGGATTATTTGTATTTTTTCTAATTATTCTTGCAACTGAAATACTTACATGGAATTTTGAAAAAAAATATCCCAATATCACGGCAATGTCTATTTTAATATTCTCTTCAACCCTGGCACTTGCAATTTTTAAATTTATCGCTTTTGCAATGATTCTTTATTTGAGATTTCAAGATCTTAATTTTAAAATAACACGAGGTTTGTTATGAAAATTTACATATTTTTAATAAAGCTTCATAATAATAATAATAATTTAGACAATTACTGGTAATTTAATTTAACTAATTAGAAATAATGTTCAATTATTTTCAGATTTAACATTTGAAATGAAAATTGATGAATTTCATAGAAATAAATTTCATTCACGAGATATTTGGCAACATCATGATTATTTAATATCAGCAGCAAAAATTTTAAAATCCATGTATTCAATTAAACTTTTAATTTGGTTTTCATTTTTATTTTTTAGTTGTGTTTTACAAATATTTGGAGCTGTTTCAAAAAATGATAATTTTTTTGTTATTTCAAATAATTTTTTTATATCGTTAATTTTTATCATACTTTTACTAGCAATAGCAATAGTATGCAATTTAACAGCAAGTGAGGTAAATAAATTTTTTAAATTCTATGTATAAATATTTCATTCGTAGAGTTTCTTGTGAAATATATAATATGAAAATAAATCAATTTTTTATTACAGGCTAATAAAATGGGTGGAATTATATCTTCACCAAATTTTTTTCACTGCTTTTCTTCAAGTGAAAAACAGGTGAAATTTGAATATAATTTGTTATTATTATTATTATTATTATTATTATTATTAATATTAATAATGTAAATTTTATCTTGAACGTTTCTAAAATTATTTAATTTTAGGATATCTGTTTAATTGGTCAATACTATCAATTTAATACTTTTTACTTTACGGCTTTTGGATTGTTCAAAATTAATCTCTCTGTTTTATTAGCGGTAATAAATTAATTTTATGATAATTAAATAACAATTAAGAAATGAAACTTTCATTTTATGTTGGTTTCTTATTATTATATTTTTTTATTTAAAGGTTGCAAGCACAATGACAACTTATCTCGTGATATTAATGTCACCAAACGAGCGTTAATCATATACCAGCAAGAAGTATACAATGAATAGGTTTCAATATTGATTTACTGGAAAGTTATTCTTTGAGAAGTCAGAATAACTATACGATCCTCGACAATATCATTTTAAAAATATAAATTTAAGCAAACAACACCACATTAAATATAAATTTATTTCATATTAAATAACCAATTATTATTATTATTATTATTATTAATTTTTATTACTTTAATAAATTAATTAATATTTATTACTAATTATTAATTTAAATTTTTAAAATATAATTTATTAATGAACATTAGAGACACTTATAGAATATACCGAAATTAAGTAAAGATTTCAATAAAAATTTATTTATAAATTTTAAAAAAATTTAGCAAAATTAACTATTAAATACAGAAATAAAAGAAAAAATTTTTAAATTTGTGAACCAATTTTAATGGTTAAAAAAGACATTCTCTTTTTTTGTAATCAAAGTTTTTAACAATTTTTTTTTTTAATAAAAAATATTACATTTTTAACAGATAGAAAAATTGTTTATTTATAAAAAATATATATATATATATATTTTTTTTTTGACACTTTAACGCCGGGAAAGACAGTTTTTTTTACTGTAATTAACCCCCGGGTGGAAAGAAGATAAAACAAAACGTAACGACAAATTACTCTTTTGTCACAGAATTTTAAGATTGGCAAAAAAAATAATAATAAATGTTCTATATAAAAAACAATCCTAATAGTATTAATTATAAAAAAGATATTTGATAATTTTGATAAAAAATATACTATAATTTAATTATTTCTTTTAAAACATAATTTGAATTTTCTAATAATATAATTTTCTTTCTTATCGCGACTATACCTGTATTTTGTCACACAACTCAACCTCCCTGTCAAATTGTTCTATTCCTAGAAACGCATTTCTATCAAAAAATGTGTTTTTATAAAATTTACGAGATAAATTTAAAAAAAAATGTTTAATGATTTTAAGTTTATTTTTCTTTTAGAAAAACTTTTTTTTGGTAAATAATATTTTTAATTATTTAAAGGGGTAAAAAATTTCTAGTTTCTTTAATTTTCAATTTATACCACCGTCCGACAAAATTCAACTTTTTTTTTGACCCAAAAAAAATTTTAACATTTTCGGAAACTAGGACACAAAAAAAAAAACCGTATCTGGCCGTTTTGCTAGATCAAATCGTTTGTGGTTTTTAGGGGTGAAAACAACCCCTAAATGAAAAGTGACAAGATATCTTTTAAAAATTATTAATATTTTATAAAACTTGGTATCTGGGGGTTTTCGGGGTCGCTGATTATTAATCTGATGTCAGATTTTCAAAATTCAAAATGGCGGATTCAATATGGCGCTCAAAATTTTAAAAAGTTATTAAATTTTTTTAAAACCTTGATATCTAGGGGTTTTTTGGGTCGTTAATGACAAATCTAATGTTAAATTGTCAAAATTCAAAATGGCGGATATAAAATAAAAAATTAATAACTTTTTAAAATTTTGACCACCATTTTGAATTTTGAAAATCTGACATCAGATTAATAATCAGTGACCCCGAAAACCCCCAGATACCAAGTTTTATAAAATATTAATAATTTTTAAAAGATATCTTGTCACTTTTCATTTAGGGGTTGTTTTCACCCCTAAAAAACCACAAATGACTTGATCTAGCAAAACGGCAAGAAACGGGTATTTTTTTGGGTCCTAGTTTCCGAAAATGTTAAATTTTTTTGTGGGTCAAAAATTGTGTCGGACGGTGTACTATTTAGACATAACCTTAAACTTATTATTGATTTTATTTACAGATCTTTAAAAGATTAATCCTTTATTTTTATATGGTTTTATATGGTTGGGTGATCCATAGTTATAAAGGTATATTTTATGTATTTTATGTATATACCGCTTATCGATAAAATTTTTCTATAAGATGCGTTTTTCAAAAAGTAATGATATATTTGCAAAGACAAAAAATTTTAAACAGTTAATTCACTAAACTTGAGATATTTTATACAGATATTTTTAATTATTACAAGCCAATTACAGAATAACCGCACATTTACGAAATAAATTATTAACAGATGAGGGGATACGAACCCTACACACCTAAAGAATGCTAAACACTAACTCTAACCACTACACTATATACACAACTATAATTTTTATACATAAATTAACAACGCGATTTGTATAGATGCAGCAGACACACGTTAAAACTTTCAGTTTCAGACTATAAAAATGGATGCCGTGAAAGTGATTTAGGTGCAACATGTATCAAATTTTTGAACTAAATATGGATCTCCGAATCATAGTAATATGGAAGAGGCAACCATATATCAAAATCCATATAGTTGAATGGGAAAGCTCAACTATAAATATGGTTGGCACATCCATATCTCATGCAATAATATAATATGCGGTTCTCACATCGATAATATTTTGAAACGAAAATACGCATACGAAAAGTTGTAATTTCCATTTCATTGGATAACGCAACAATATATTATGTTCAACAATATTTATATGGATACCATAACCAGTTCATTTCTTTACGTGCAAAATTACAATTGTAAAGAACATCCACTGATTTGAAGAAAAAAATTGTGGACACAAAATTATTACGTAAAAAATAAGTTATACTTACAAAAATTCGCGTTGCTTCTTTGGAGATCGCTGGCAAAAGAAGTTGAGAACAACCGATTTTGTTTGCCGGTTGCCACGGTGTTGTCCTATTGTTTATTTTCTGCCAAACCTATGTTACAAAACACAACAGGATAAAATTCAAATATTGTACAAAATTTTTGACAGTATTAAGTAAAATATTAAACTGAAAAAAAAATGTTGCCGAGAAATTCAACTACCATTGGGTAGTTGACTAGAAAGTAGTTAAAATAACTAATTTTTTAGTTAATCTAATCATGTTCATGTAGTTAATGTAACTATTTTTAAGAAGTTAATAAGTAATAGTTGATTTTACGTAAATATGTAGCTAAAGTACAACTACAGGTCGGTAGTAAAATTAACTTTCTTAAGGTAGTAAAAACAAGTGGAATTGTAGTCAACTCAAAATTAGAAGAGTAGTAACACGGTGCGCCAGAAGGTGGTTTAAATTAAAAAGAATTGGCACTTAAAAATTCTTTTTGATTATGATTCTTAGATGAATAAAAAACATTTCTCAATAGTTTTTAAAATCAGTTTACGTGCCCGATTTAAATAAAATTGAATTTTTATTTAAAAACGCAGTGTTTTATGGGGAATCAGAATTTATTTAATCTAATAAATACTGTAATAAATGATAAAATAATTACTTATTTTCAATTTTACATATAAATAATTATATTGCTGTAGTGTTTGTGTCCAATTTTAAAAAATTAAATTATAATGTTAAAAGAACGATTTTAAGAGTGACAAAATTTATTTAAGAGAGTCGAATGGTTTCTGAAATTTTTTGGCAAGAAGAGACCTTTAATTATCGCTCTATAAAAACGGCACTAAACGTGAAAATGATAAACATTGATTTTAAAATAGTAAAATACTTTCTTCTCGAAAGACGGACACTTTTTACAAAAGCAGCTAGAGATCCTTATCTTATATAAATTTCCTAAATCGTAAAGATTATACGAATCCATACAAAACAACGATTGCAAAACGAAAAGTAATATAATGAGGGGTACATTACCTCCTGCCGCCGTCAGATGGCAGCAGCATGCAGGGCGCACAAAGTCGCAGCTGTTATTAGATTGCTTTTCTACTTTTTGTTTTGCAACCATGTTTTTCTATGGATTCGTACAGTCTTTTGGATTTAGGAAATTTATAAGATGAGGATTTTCGCTGATTTTGTTAAAAGTGTTGGTGTTTTTTGTTGTAGAATTAACAAGTCGTCTGTAATTTAAACTACTACTTTAAGTAGTAGATTTTTACTATTTTAATTAATTCGATAAACTTAAAGAAGATTTTTTTATGTAGAATTTACAAATTTACAAAGTAGTCTTCGAGTAGTTTGCAGACTGTTGTAGCGAGCGTGCGTGGTTAGTCGGTTAAGGTATCGGATTGCGAGCGTTAGGGTCGAGGGTTCAATTCCCGTCGGTTAGAAATTTTCTCTGTTAGGTACATAATCGTTAGGACATAAAATAAGCGTCAGTATAGGAGAGAGGATGAAAAACTCAATTCTACTGATAATAAACAATTATAAATAAAAAATAATTTTATTTTCCTATTTTAAGTAGTAAAACCTACTACTTAAAGTAGTAGTTTTAATTGCAAAAGATTTATTAATTCTACAAAAAAATGTTCTTAAAGCCTATTAAACCACTTTCAGTAGTAAAGTTTACTACTTAAAGTAGTAGTTTCAATTGCAAAATATTTATTAAATGTACCAAAAAATGTTCTTAAAGCCTATTGAACCACTTTAAGGAGTAAAATCTATTATTTACATCTTGAGTTGTTTTAACATTTTTAAATTGAGTTATTACAATCACAAAATGTCATTCTACCAATTACATTTTTCATTGGTTTAACTATTTTTATATAGTTAATAGAACCGTTTAAATTCAGTTGAGGACCTATTGTACTACTCAGAGTAATTAAAAAGTAGTAAAACCTACTAGTTTTTTTTCAGTGTATATATCTCTCGATTACTCAGGAAACAGGAACAGGATATACAGAAAATAGAAAATTTGACAAAATTAATATTAAAAAAAAGTCCAATCTTGGAATATCTGCTACGACCTCCAAAAATAATTAAATTAGGAAAAATAAAATACAACTTTCAAATAATGTATATGATAATATTAATAATGTATTCAAAATCTAATTTGTTTTCTCTAATTTCATATCAAATGCTTTGGCTTTAACCATTATATCAATTTTAAATGAATCAGCTGACGAATAATCCTCCAGAAAATCCTCTTGAAAGCTGAGAGTCTAATTCTCGATGTGTAGAAGATTATAATATAATCTTCTACACATAAAAATTCGTAAAGACCAAGTTTCATAAAAATTTAATATCCGATTTCAGATTCGTAATCAGCGACACCAAAACCAAAATATATTTAGAATTTTGCAGTTTTTCAAAATGTAATTTGTAATATTAACATTTTTTAAATTTTATCATCAGATTCGTAATCTCAATTAATAGAATGGGATATTCTTGAAAGTTATGTTTACAATTTGATCAATGAATATTTATTTTTACTTTTAATAAACTTTTCTTTAAATTTTCAATATAGAATTGGAAATAAAAGTCGACGCAAGTTGACTACAACCATTCAAAGCATATGCATTATCTATTGAACCTTGTATTAAGTACGAACTGCTGTCGGTTGTCAAAAAGTGATTTATATCATCTCCCTAACATTTTCAATCGAGAGGTAGTATTAATACTTCCGAGATAGCGGTGATAATTTATTTTTGACTTACTATTGTTAGAGGTGTCTGAATTTTAAAGTTCATTTCTAATCTATTGAAAATAAACAAACACTTGGTGTAACAAATAAAATTGGTTCATATATGACTATGGTTCAAGAGTTCCAAAACAAAAGTTCAAAATCAGAAGTTCGAAGAAAAAAGTTCCAAATTTAAATAAGATCGAAAATTTATTTTTTCAAAGTACAAAATTTCTAAGACCCAAAATGTCCCAAAGTACAAATTTTCGAAAATAAAAGTTTCTAAAGAAAAAAATTTTAAACTCTCAAAGAAGTTAAGAGTACAAAAGTTGTTTAAAAAAATAAAATTAAAAATGTAAGTTGTACAGCTATATCCAATGGCTTTTAACTTTTTAAGTTTTAAATATCCAAAAGTCGACGCCTCCCGTTAATATAATCGTATTTCAATTGTCAATACTATATATTATCGTAACTTGGGGCTCAGTTTAATATGAACGTAGCTCATTTTCCGAATAATAAAATCGTATCTTAATTTCCATTTAATATAATCGTATCTCAAATTTTAATACATAATAATGTTTTAAAATCTAAATTAAATAAATAATCTTAACATATAAGAAATATTTTTAGTTAATTATAATTTTAAAATACACTGAATTTTTCAAATTAAATATTTTTTTTTAAAAAATTATTTTATTTTATTTAATTATTTAATATTATTATTTCGCATCGAAAAATTTAAAAACAATAACATTTTTTATTGAAATATTAAAAAATATTATAATTAAAAGAATTTCTTTATAATTGAAATAAAATGTAAGTATGTATGAATAAATTTATTATTTCTTTATAATACTTATTAATTTAATTTAATTTTTTCAACTTATTAATCCTAATAATTTAAAATTTACTTGTACGTTAGAAAAAAATTTTATTTTACGAAAACTTAAATGCGAATTATAATTACCTATTATGTTTAAATTTGAGATACAATTTTATTATTCATAAAGTTGTAAAAAAAAAAAATTTTCGTGTTGTACACTGGAGACTCCATTGAGAGGACAGCTCGTGTCTTATTCCTCTCTATGGAGTTCGTCATTGACGCGACCTCTACGTCGAAAACTGTAAACACTCAGGGCCGTACTACCAATGAAAAGGATACGGCTTTTCTCAGAATAATACAATATTCTTAGAAATTTTGTAAAAAAAAATAAGCTGCAATTTATTGTGTCAATATTTCAATAAATTGCAATTTTGTAATTATAATAATAATGATTTCCGATTCATTTTTAATCACATTATAATATATATTATGACTAATATTATATTCTTGTAAAAATTTTTTTACAAGTCTTTATTTTTTTAAAGTTCAACTTTTGTTTCTAAATCTAAAAAAGTTTTTTTTTACATTTTTAATAATATTTAAATTTAAAGAAATTTAACAACGTAAAGTGATGTCACGAAAGGTACACGTAAAACGAATATTGGAAAAATATAATATTTTGGAAAAAATATCCTTTGGGATAATAATAACTTAAGCTCGCTTAGAAAGGACCCCCGCACCAAATACATGGGAAAAATACTCTCGGTTAAATTTCTTGTAACTTTGCAATTTTGTAGCTTTTGACCTCCTGAACAAAAAATGTTAATGACAAAATACAAAAAAATGGACAGATTTTTTGTAAAATGAGGTTAAAGTGGAAATTTTAAAGTGAGCCAGATGTAAACACTTAAAAATGACTTGAACCCATATAATTGAATTAACTAGTTTGAAACTTATTACACAGGGGTTTTTGGGGTCACTGATTGCGAATCCAGTGTTAGTTTTTAAAAATTCAAAATGGCGGATCCAATATGGCGGACGACTTTTTAAAAAACTCTTCCTACTCACAAAAAATCAATTTCTCTATTCGTAGAATTGAAAGAATATATTTAATCAAAAAGTAATAGTTTGTTTTAACCCAGCTATGAGAAAATGAAGATTTGACATCGAATTCTTAGTCAAGGCGATTCCAGAATGGGTGCAAAAGAGAAGTTCAAGTACAAATCCCATGAGTACAAGAGATAGATAGTCTCTTTGTCTCTTTTGCTCTCATGGAATATGCAGTTGTACTTGGATTTGCATTTTCCTTTTGCACTAATTCTGGAATCGCCTTCATCGACACAAAAAACCTCCAAGTTACATGTTTCAAGTGAATTGGATGTATTTTTTAAAAAATCCTCTGCCATAATGGATCCGCCGTTTTGAATTTTTAAAAACTAACACTGGATTCGCAATCAGTCACACCAAAAATCCCTGAGTAAAGAGTTTTATGTGAATTCGATGTATTTTGCTTCCTCGTGGAGGAAGCTTTGTAGTCCTTTCGTTTATAAAACTTGTCAAAGTGGCGGAAACAAATTTTTTTCTTTATAGAAACATGTTATATGAGATCCTGATCAATTGTCTGGATGTATGTATGTGTGTGTGGATCCCTTTTTTGTTTAGAAGATAACTTTAACAGGTTTTAATGGATTTAGATAAAATTTAGTAGGCTCATTTATCATATTAATATCTCAAATCTGACCAAAGGATTTTGAAAAATACTCAAAAAAAAAAATTTTATGGTCTTTTTTCCAAAAATTTTTTTTTAATCGAAAAAATTTTTAAATAGAAAAATTTAAGGTTATATATAATAAAATCGTATTCTTTACGTCAAGAGGAATCGATCGATATATATAAAGTATTCATTTCAGGTAAATTTAAAGAATTAATGAAAGTTAAAAAGTCAAAAATTGACATTTTGGCTATAAAATTTTGTGATTTTTTAAATTGAAGTTTATACATGAAATAATTGTATTCCTTACGTCAAGACGAATCGATCGATATATAAAGTATAAATTTGAGGTAAATTTAAAGAATTAATGAAAGTTAAAAAATCAAAAATTCACATTTTGTCAATAAAATTTTGCCTTCTCCACGAGGAAGCAAATTTTTTTGCTGATCGTACACGGAGAGAAAAATCTGCCTTTTATAGTATAGAAAGGTTTACATTTAATGCACAGAAATTTTCTATGCTATATAGGCATGAAATTTGAGTAATCATCCTACTATGTTTGCATAAGTTCTATGCTTTTTCGGGGATAGACTCTTGCAACTGGCGATTAGGCCACGCCCACCTTGACTTAATTGGAACTGCCCTAATCGCCAGTTGCAAGAGTCTATCCCCGAAAAAGCATAGAACTTATGCAAAAATAGTAGGATGATGTTATGTGCCATCTTCGCATGGCGCCGTTGGATTAAAAGTATAATAAGTATGTAATAAGAGGCTATATGACAAACTTTATTAGCATAGACAAGTTTCATGCTAAAAATTCTCAAATCTTTGCTCTATTAGTATGAAAAGTTTAAAGAAAAATAGCAGCAATCTATTTCATACTATAAAAGGCAGATTTTTCTCTCCGTGTAAAGAGGAAGCAAAATGTTCATGTAATGAACATCTGAATTTACAACTTGTTTAAGAAAGTCGTCCGCCATATTGGATCCGCCATTTTGAATTTTTTAAAACTAACACTGGATTCGCAATCAGTGACCCCAAAAACCCCTGTGTAATAAGTTTCAAACTAGTTAATACAATTATTTGGGTTTAAGTCATTTTTAAGTGTTTACATCTGGCTCACTTTGAATTTTCCACTTTAACCTCATTTTACAAAAAATCTGTCCATTTTTTTGTATTTTGTCATTAACATTTTTTGTTCAGGAGATCAGAAGCTACAAAATTGCAAAGTTACAAGAAATTTAACCGAGAGTATTTTTCCCATGTATTTGGTGCGGGGTCCTTGGAACTTTTGTCTCCATACTGTTAATATTTAATTGATACTCCAAATAGATTGTCTTTCTTATTCTTCCTCTTTTACAACTTTATTTACTTTTTTTCGTTTTTATTGAATAAATATAAATAAAAAAGTAAAAAACCAAGTCTTGGGTCACTTGTTCGATTTTTTATTTATAATTTATGCGCTGCTAAAAATTCTTCGAAATAATTCTCCTACGTAGGATTCTATAAAAAAAAATCTCAACTTTTCAATAAAAATAAAAATAAAAAATTCCCAATTGGATCGAAAATAAAAAAAGAAACAGAATTTTAATTTTTTTATACTTTCGCCAATTTTGCCTACGAATTGAGTTTATATTACTTACACGGGAAAAAATTTATTGTGGCAACCACACAACTTCAATTCTAGAATAAACAAATTGTAAAAACACTGGGCTGTATTTCCAACAGGCAGATTTTTTTTTTAAAAAAATTTAATCCATCTTTATGACATCATATTTTCGTTTCTATTCATCAAAAAAACTTGGGTATAGAATGATTTTATGGCAAATTTAATAATCTTTCCAAAATACCCTAAAAAAACTTTCTACGATATTTTTGAACAGAGTTGTCATTTTTTAAAGACCAACGTGTTTTTAATAGTATTTTTGCAAGCCGTCACACAATTTTCACACAGTAGTCTATGCACGGAAAGAAATTTAGTAACAATATTTGATAAATCTGATAGGAAATTTTAGTATTCTCTTTTTCAAACGCGGAACATTTGGGTTTGATAACGAAAATCCGTATATTTTTACCAATAGTCTTTTTAGTAAATATATTCCAGAAATTGAAATTATTATGATGACGACAGAAACACCAATAGATTCTACGCCAAAGTTTTATCTCTTTCTCATCTCGAGGATAGACGAGGATATGAACTTTTAAATGCACACACACACATACACCGCAATGTTTTACATCGATTGGCTTATTTTTATTCCTAACCTATACTAACGATAATACGTATAACATTCGCAGAATAACGCTTCATATACAAATTTATGTAAATGCTCATGTGCAAATTTATGCTCATGTGAAAAACTGATGTGACCATTCTTATATACTAACCAGACATATTTTTCACCGCTTATGAGAAAGGTGAAATTATATCAAAACATGTTTAAAAATATAAATAAAAATCATTATTTATTGGGAAATAATTAAATATTTTATTATTTTTTAAAGAACAATTTTTTTTACTGATTTATTGTAAAATCTTCGAAATTAATTATATAAAAGAAATTCAGGTCTGTATCAAGATAATAGTAAAAAGGGACTTGTCTAAAGAGCTTCGTCAGTCTTCGTTACCACTCGGTGAGGATCGGGCAATTCCGAACGTTCAACTTCGGCAAATTTCGTCGAATCTCGTTAACTTTGATATTTCTTTTTCAATTTTCATATCAAATATATCAAAATCCGAAATAATTATATCATTTTATAGAATTCTAATTACGAAATTTGAAATATTTGGTTAGAAAAATTGATAAAGAGCTTATTAAAATTTGACATTTTTGTGTTTCAATAAAAAGATTTCAGATTTCGTAAATATTATATCAAATTTTCTTTCCAACTATATTAAATATTCTTATTTTAATCTCAATCATTCTTAAAAATAGTATCGAAAATCGTTATCATGCCAAAATGTTCCGCAATTGTAACCAAATATACTAAAAAGTAACACCATAATATCAAATATTGCTACAAACTTTCTTTCCGTGTGTTTATACATGTATGAGAATTATAAACTACGCATGACATTGTCCTGTTTATAAACAATTACATAGTACGTGTTCTACTTCTAATATCAAACAGTTCATCAAGTGTGTTAGGATAGCGGTTTAATTTATCTTTATAAAAAAAAAAAAAAATTATTCGAATTTTATATTATAATGAGAAATATAATCATGGTTAGTATAATTTATGTAATAAATTTTTTTAATCTTAATGCATTTTAATTGTATTATAAATGATAAATTGTTTTCAATTATTTTAAAATAAATAAATTTCATTAAATTCAAAGAATATTAAAACATAATTTTTTCATTAACAATAATGCATTTCATTTAATTTAATTGAATTTTGAAAATTTAATAATTTTTTTTTTACCCCTTAATGAGAAACATTAAAATGTTATCTGATATTGCTGAATAAAATTTTTAATGAAATTTCTGTTTACCACAATTGCCTTATATATTATAGTTGATACTTCGTATAATTTATGTTCTTCTTCTTATACTAAAAATATTGACGCGTTTTATTTTTCCTCTTAGAATAATAATTTTGTTGACAATTAAAATAAATTAAAAAAGTACAAACCTGATTGATTTTTCAAAATATTAGTTATGAGAATTATATATAATATTAAAGTAAGTATACATTTAATATTTTATAAAAATAAATGTCATCCATAAATGTCAATTTATTAATTTAAAAGTAAATTTATTATAGAGAAAAAATGTTTTTTAAATTTTGTGGCCTATTTAGTATTGGCTGCCGAGGCTGGGCAGTCTGTACTGAACCAGTACTGGTATTTGCATTGTATTCGTACTGGTGCAGTACCACCCTCCCAGTACTGGCAAACCAGTACTGAGCCGATATTGAGCCAGTACTGGCTCAAATAGATTTTCTTTTTGATTAATACTAGTTTACAAAAAAAGTTCTAGAGTGAACCCGATAAATTTTTTTGTTTAAATATTTTGTTCATCAAAATTTTTTCAACTTGATTTTATTTTTCAAAATTAAAATGCACTTTATTTTGCTTTTCTGTGGGTAAAATTATTTAAACAAAAAGTTTCCTGAGACCGAGTCTAAAACATTTTGCAAGATATTCTTTTTGTTTTCAGATATGCAATAAACCAAAAAAAATTTTAAACGATCAAACTAAAAATAAATAAATTTGTTTATAAAAAATTAATATTCTTTAAAATAAAATTTATAATATAAATTTAATTTAAAAAATTAAATACAATCGCAAGTAAAATTGCACAAATGTTATATTATCAATAATATAAAATATATAATTAACCTTTCTTAATAGAAATTATAAAAAATAGTTAAACCTACAAACTTATATATTTCAATGGTCAATAAAATTATTGTAATTTGTTTCTGGATGTTATTCTTTAGTTTTTTTTCCAAAAGTGAATTATAAACAAAAATTTAATGTTAATTTAAAAATAATTTAGATAATTTTTTTAATAATTTCCTAATTTCAGGAATTTAGTATTCATTATTTATTAAATCATTATATTTGTGATGAGTTAATTTGTAAACTAATTTTGTTTTATGTAAATTAAATTGAATTCAATGTTAATTTATTTATATTTGATATAATAATTAATAAATTAAAGTAAATAATAAAATAATTAAATAGTTAATTGCATAATTATATACATTATAGTAATTTTATAAACATTTTTATTTTTACTGAACTGTTTTTTTATATTATAAAAACTTTGGTTTTATAATAAACATATTTTTATATTTATTTTTTGATTTTTTAAAATAATAATTTGCAATATATATTATAAGAAGGAATGAAAATTCTTGGTGTTTTCGATTTTATATAATAAAATATTAATTAGTTAGTTGACTAATTTAATTAATATTTAATTTGTGTTGGGTTACTAAAAATTTCACACACTTTTTTCTAAGTATACCAAAAAAGTATTACCTGGAGTGAAACTTATCTCTGTTACAGTTAAAGCTTTCTTTTCGTATACAATAAATTACAAAACTGCCAGTACTCGGCCAGTACTGAACCAGTAGTGGTTACCAATACTGGTGCCAAATCTGGTAGCCAATACTGGTAACATGTTATCATCCCAAAGTTACGCCAACTCTGGCGCCAATACTGGGTGCCAGTACTGCGCCAGTACTGCGCCATTAGTAAATTTTTGATTGGGTAGCTTATTTAACTTGGTATTAGATGTTTATAAAATTTATTATTCTAATGTTTTAATATTCTTTAACCCATTTTGTACGAGAAGTCCGTTTTTTTCCTCCACATTTGCTCTCGCCATTTTCAAAATTCATGGACTAAAAAAATTGGTAATAGGTGTTTCTTATCGAATTTTTTAGTCCTATTTAAGAATCTACAAGAAAATTTAACTTTGGATTTAAGGATAAAAAGTTATTGCATCAAAAATGTCTGCCCTTTCATTTGGTGATTATAAGAAATTATTATTTTCTCAAAATTCAAAATGGCCGCCAAAATGTCTGAAATTAAATCTTTCACTCCCACTATTAAAAGACTAGATAAATATTTACGAAACTTGTTACTCCGGGGTTACTGATTTTGAATTTGAAGTCAGATTTTCAAAGTTCAAAATCGCGGATCCAATATGGCCGGCGAAAAAATAGTATGGCTGCCAAAATGACAGATAAAATAAATGCTAAGTACATTTTCTATTGCAAATGACTGAATTCATTATAAAATAAAACATTTTTGATATTTTTAAAAATTAATTTATTAGACAACCAACAGTTGCTTTTAAAGTTTTTTAATTTAAATTTTAGTCATTTTGGTGGCCGTACTATTTTTTCGTCCACCATTTTGAATTTTGAAAATCTGACTTCAAATTCGGAATCAGTAACCCCGAAAACCTCCAAGTAACAAGTTTTGTAAATATTTGACTAGTCTTTTAACAGTGGAACTGAAAGATTTAATTTCAGACATTTTGGCGGCCATTTTGGAGGCGCCATTTTGAATTTTGAGAAAATAAAAATTTCTCATAATCACCAAATGAAAGGGCACACATTATGAACGCGATATTTTGTCATTTCAAACTGTTCCTGACGCGATTTTGAATCAAAAATATAGTTTTAATGAAAAAAAAACCCAAAAAATTCATCCTTATTTTTATTTAAACCATCATAACTTTTTATCCTTAAGTCGAAAGTTAAATTTTCTTGTAGATTTTGAAAGAGGACTAAAAAATACATAAGAAACACCTATTGCCAAGTTTTTTAGTTCATGAATTTTGAAAATACTTGTTTTTATTCCACGGTGAAGAATTAATTAATTAATGTTAGTATAGAAAATGAAATATTTTGCAAACAAATACAGTTACTGTAATTATGAACTTACCAATCGAAAGCATATGTAATTCCGCATCCAACGAGACTTGTCCTAGGTCATTTTTTCTGAAACAAAAATTAGTTATAAAATATTATTATTGTTTGAAAATAACCCGAATTGATCGCGATATCCAAATTTACTGAACTTAGTTCCATAATTTTTCCTAAATTTTTTCTTTTCGTGTGATCTGTAGCATTTGTTATATTCTTGTTTTTAATTATACTTAAGTAATGCTTACATTTTTTTTTTAGATAGCACTTTCTTGGAATTTGTTTAACAACTTTTGGTGTCAATAAATACAATTTAAAAATGTTTACAACAAAATCACCGCAAATTTTTACAATCTCAAAAATGAAACAACTTCCCAATGAAATGATGAATGATGAAAAATTATGGTTGGAATTAAAACCAATTCTACAAGTATCACGACTCTTTGGTCTTGCTCCAGTTTCCTTAAAGAATTCAAAGTGGACTTTTTCTAAAATTGGATTACTCTATTCCGCACTGTGTTTTGCATTCTATAATTATATATTCATCGATCGAATTCTTATATACATTAAAGAAGATTGGGAAATTAAATTATTAATTCTCTATGTGACAATTGTTGTTACAACGGGATCTTGCGTTATTATGGATTTTATTAATTGTCTATTGGGATATAAAAAATTACAGGCATATTTAAACAATATAAGACGTTTCGATTTATCAATGAAGTCAAGATATTGTAAATCTTCAGATATGTTGATTAAATTATATTGGAGAGTACTTATTGGAATTTTAATATTCCTTCTTCCAATTTCTGTACTTACTTATAAGGTTGATCAAAAACCAATACTGGGAGCATTTACTTATTTTATGTTTTGTGCAGTATTGATGATTGGAATATTAAAATTTCTTGCCTTCACTATGATTATTTTTATTAGATTTCGAGAATTTAATAGTAAATTGACCGAAGGTTTGTTATCATTTCTTTTTCTCTCTCTCTCTCTCTCTCTCTAAACCGGAATTAGTAAAATTCTATTGAGGATTCTTAGCCTCAACCTCAAACTAAAAAATTGTTTGAACTACAAATAAAACTATAAATAAAATTAAATTTAACAACTTTTAAAGATTCAGTTGTACAATTTTCAAAATAAATTATTTTGCGTAAAAATTTGATGTTAAATACTAACACAGAACTACAAAAAAAAATCGAATTTTTTCCAAAGCAAACCGGAATATGATTTTCTGACGTATTTTTATGCGCTGAACACGAATCTGAAGTCCGATTTGTTCCATTACGTCTGGATTTTTTTCTAACCTTAAAAAAATAAATCTAATCAAACAAGTAACTCAAAATTCTTGTGGGCTTGAGTTCTAGGGGGTTTTTGAGATCGCTGATTACGAATCTGATCTCAGATTTTGAAAATTCAAAATGGCGGATGCAATATGGTGGACAAGTTTTTTTAAAAAATTATTAGATTTTTATGTAATAAATCAGTATCTAAGCACTGAGAAAAAAGGTTTGAGCTGACAACCAAATATTTCATTCAATATATGTGCAACTAAAATTTTTTGGTTGACACAACTAAACTTTAGTTGACAACAACCAAAGTTTGTTTCAGACGACTAAATAAGAAAATGAAAAAGAATTTGGTAGTCTCAACCAAACTTTGGTTGATATCAACTAAAGTTTAGTTGTGTCAACCAAAAAATTTTAGTTGCACATATATTATATTTAATATATGGTTGTCAGCTCAAACCTTTATTCTCAGTGAGGACTTTTGTTGTCGCTAATCACGAATTCGATGTTAGATTGAAAAAATTCAAAATGTCCTCCATATTGTATCCGCCATTTTGAATTTTGAAAATCTGAGATCAGATTCGTAATCAACGATCCCAAAAACCCTTAGAATACTAGCCTATAAGAATTTTGAGTTACTTGTTTGATTAGACCTGTTTTCTGTGGTTAGAAAAAAATCCTGCATCAATTTTTTTTAACAAATTTAGTAAATTAAAAAAGTAAAAATTTCACTAATTTAGATTTAGAGACAATTATGATGCTATAGTATTATATCAGAATAAAAACATTTAGAACCAGATTTATAAATTTTTTCATTTTGAAAATATTTCTAAATGATTCTTTTTTTTAATTTTTATTTTTACTAAAAATTGCAAATGAAATTCTAGACTTATTGTAGATATTGACAAATACAACAATTACAATTTTCCAATAATCCACGTTGCATATGAAGAAAAAATAATCAAAAATAAATTCAAATTTAACAAATTTTTCAGATGTGACATTTGTAGTTGAAGCTAAAGAAAAAAATAAAAAACTCAATTGGCATGGACTTTGGAAGAAACATAAATATTTAATAGAAGCGTCAAAAAAATTAAATTCAAAATATTCTCTTCAACTTTTACTATGGTTCTCAGTACTCTCTTTAAATTCAATTTTACAAATTTATGAATTTCTTAAAGGTGATCATAAAATTATTGAAAATATTCGGGAAATGTTACTTGCATTATTTTTTATTCTATTATTAACAGCATTAGCAACAATTTGTCATTTTACTGCTGATGAGGTAAGAATCATATATATATATATATATATGATATTATTTTTTTATATTTCGAATATTAAAACAATGGTATTAATTTTTTTTTTTAAATTTATTTTTTTTATTGTAGGCTAAACAAATGGCTAGTATATTATCATCGCCTGAATATTGTCAAGAATGTAATTTTCAAGATCAACAGGTAAAAAAAAAGTTTTTTAAAGAGTTAAATATCTTAAAAATAGTTTTTTATTTCACCTATCAATTTTTTTTATGAGGCCGTTTTCACCGTGTGGATAAATTTAATGTTCCGATAGGTTAAAGGCAGTAGATATACTCGGCGTCTTCGCAGAATGTTTGCTTCTGCGCAGACGCAGAATATCTACTCTGCCTTTAACCACTTGGAAGATTAAGGCCAGGTCCAAGTGAGGCAGCGCCATCTACATTGATACTAAAATTTTGGAAAATTTTCAACAGCCTTTTCTTGAAAACAAGAAGGTAAAATGCTTTTTTCTTTATGGATAATTAATTATTGGCAAGATATACAGCAGCTAAAACTTTTTTTGATTCAAAATAATGAAAAAAATTTCATGTCGATAAATTAAATATGAGCACTTTTTCTCACAAAAACTGTAACAGTACTTTCTCAAAAATTACAATTAAAAATGCAATTTCCATTTGGAAAATTAATAAACGCTAAAAAATACACGACCTAAGATTTACCAATCACGAAAATAACAAAAAAAAAGTTTTTTAACATAACATATTTTACTCATTATGACAGCCGTTTGGCAGGTTATATATGTCACCAGACGTTTCGCGGTTTTGCCGAAAGAAGGAGATTGGCGCTGTTGCTAACCACCTGAAATACATAATCTACCAAAGGGCTGTCACAATCAGTAAAGCAGTATCAACATGTTAAATATTTAATAAAAATTTTTTTTATTATTTTCGTGATTGGTAAATCTTAGGTGGTGTATTTTTTAGCGTTTATTAATTTTCCAAATGGAAATTGCATTTTTGATTGTAATTTCTGAAAAAGTACTGTTACAGTTTTTGTGAGAAAAAGTGCTCATATTTAATTTATTGACATGAAATCTTTTTCATTATTTTAACTCAAAAAAAGTTTTAGCTGGTGTATATCTTGCCAATAATCAATTATCTATAAAGGAAAAACCATTTTACCTTCTTGTTTTCAAGAAAAGGCTGTTAAAAATTTTCCAAAATTTTAGTTTCAATGTAGATGGCGCTGCCTCACTTGGACCTGGCCTTAAGTTTATCCACGTACGGTGAAAACGCGGCCTCTATTGTAAATTATTTTTTTCTCTTTGATTTTTAGATTGTTTTTTCACTTGGTCAATATTTTCAATTCAACGATTTTAATTTCTCAGCTTGTAATTTTTTCAACATCAATCTTGCTGTACTATTAAAAGTAAGTTACATATATAGAAACAAAAGCTTAGATTAATAAAAAAAAAAATTCTGTAGTTAATAAATAAAAAAAAAATAATTACTAAATTTAATTTTTTTTTAAATATAATTTCAATTACTCACTCTTAATAATTATATATGTAATAATAGTATTAGGTAATTTCCTTTTTTAACGTAGATTAATATATGTTTTATTTGTCTTTTTAGATAGCCAGCGCAATAATAACATATCTAGTTATATTAATGTAAAAAGAGAAACTTTAATTACATATATAAAAATGAAGTAAACTCTCTAAATATGAATCAGTGAAAAAGTCACTGGTCTCAAATCAGTCGCTAAATCCTAGCTATTTTAATCAGTGGTTTTCACTGACAGTTAGTGACATTTCACTGGAGAATCAATTATTTTGACTGAAAATCAGTGAAATGTTACTGATTCAAATAGCTAGAATTTAGCGACTGATTTGAGACCAGTGACTTTTTCACTGATTCAAATTTAGAGAGAAGTTTAATCGACTTTCAGATCTGCGTTAAATTAATGTCTAAAACAAACTTTATATATCTAGTATATTTCATGAATATAAAATAGTATAGCGAGAAATAAAATTCTCATTTTTTTAAAATAAATTTTTTCTTTTTTTAATCTAAAATTATATGATGTTAAAATTTCAAGCGTATATATAACTCTTAATGATAATTTTAAAAAATCTCACACGCATGAGGAATCGAACCCAGGACCCTTGGGACGCGAGCCGTGTACACTAACCTCACAGCTACGTTAACTTACAAATTTTTGTCTAACATTTCTTGAATCTTAAGACTGTACTACCTTCTATTTGTAATAAAATAAGTATATTTTTAAATTTTTACATCAAATAATAATTTTTACTCCTTTTATATAATTTATTTTTTAAAAAAATCATGAAATAATTTTTTTCTCATTGTTAATTAAATAATTTGAAATAAATAAATAGCATAGAAACATTTTTAGTACAAAAAACTTCATTCCATGGATAAAAAATTTATAGATTTTATCTTATACATTTGATATTATTAATGGATGTGAACAATCGTCTAATATCCATTTCCCAAGAACTTACTCCTTTTAGTTAATCAACTTATTATTATTTTTTTTATTGTTTTCTACTTTTTCAATTTGTTTTTCTCACTTTGAAGAATTGCAACGCAACTTAAATACATATTTCAAGAAAAATTACTAAAACTGAAAAATTTATTTATAGAAAGACAAATAAACGATTATATAAGGTAAGAAATCAATCCCTTAATTTAAAATATAACATTTACTAATTATTACAAAAAAAAAAATTAAATCAAAATTTTGAATTAACAAAAAATTAATCAAAAAATATATATGTCGTTTTAGGAAAATAAAAAAATAATACAAATTGAAAAAAATAATTTGTTTATAAAAATTCACAAATTAAAAAAATACTATTTAAAAAAAAAATGCTTTTTTACAAGTCGGGAAGTACTGATTTGAATATAAAATCAAATATAAATTCCTGCGCTACATTAAAACATATTCAAAAACATCAACAGCCTGAAGAGAATGTAATTAAAGAATTAAAATTAATTTTACAAATAGCAAGAATATTTGGTTTTGCGCCAATTTCAATGCATAATGTAAATTGGACAATAAAGAAAAATGGATTATTATATTCTGCATTGTGTCTTAGTTTATATATTTATGTATTTACCGACAGAGTTATAATATATATAAATGAAAATTGGGAAGTAAAATTAAAAATTCTTTATATTATAATTGTTGTTTCATCGGGATTATGTTCATTGGCTGATTGTATTGGTTGTTTATGGGGTAACAGAAAAATTAAAAATTTACTAAATTACGTTCGACATTTTGATATGTCAATGAAACAAAAATATAAAACAACAACTAAATTTGTCAAATGGAACTGGATAATATTTATGGGAATTTTAATATTTCTTCTTCCTATTGTTATTTTAACTTATATTTTAGATAAAAAACCATTACTTGGAACTTTTGGTTATTTCATATTTTGTATAATATTAATGATTGGAATTTTAAAATTTCTTACATTTGCAATGATCATTTTTGTTAGATTTCGAATACTTAATTCTAAATTAGTGAAAGGTTTGTTTCTAATAATTTAATTTATATTTATAATAAACTAAAAAAAATTTTATTTAGATCAAATAATTTTTATTTGATCCAATTAAATCATTTACTTGACTATTATCCATTAAATCTTTATTTGAACCAAATAAATATTTAATAAATCTAAGTATTTTATTTTATCGTTTCAAATAAACTATAATTTACGCCAAATAAAAATTACTTGAATCTAAAAAATGAAATAATTGATAAAAAATAATTTATTTATTTTGAAAGAACTAAAAATTTACTTGTTCCAAGTATTAAATTATTCGTCATGAGTAATTATTTTAATTCTGATTAAAATACCTTAAATTGCGTTAAATAATTAATTATTTATCCCAAATAAAAAATTTATTTTTGAATGAAATAAAAACATTTTTATATTCAAATAAATCTATATTTGACTTAAATAAAATAATGTATTAGCATTGAATGATGCATTATTCATATCAAATAATTTAGTTTACTTGAAACAATAAAATAAATTTATTGCATTAAATAATTCTTATTTAAATAAAAAAAAAACAAAATATTCGTGTAAAATAAAAAAATTAATTGTTTTGAATAACTCACATTATTTTCAATTCAGTTAAATATTTATATATTTGATCAAAATATTTTATATTTGTTTTTATAAAATAATATATTAATATTAAATAATATATTATTTGCATTAAGTAATTATGTTTACTTGAGTTAATAAAATAAATTTATTATGTCAAATAATTTAAATACTTATATCAAAAAATTAAGTATTTGATTGAAATAAATAAATATAATTGTTTTAAGTATATAACTTATTATTATTTGTGTCAAATAAATTCATATATTAGATTCAATCAATTATTTACTTGACCCAATTACGATTTATTTGTTTCAAATATGTATGATTCAAATAATTCAAATTATTTAAATCAAATACATATTTTTTTGGTCCAAATAAAAATTATTTGAACCAAGTACCTAAATATTTTTCAAATAATTTGAATTAATTGAATCAAATAATTTTTTTTTTCAATGTAGTAATAATAAAAAAAATAATTATAAAAATAAAAAATATAATAATAATAATAATAATAATAATAATAATAATAATAATAATACAATAATAATCTTTGATTATTGTCAAGATCTGAATATCATATAGAAAAATAGTAACATAAAATAATATTTAGAACAAAATTTGTCATTATCAAAAACAACTTCATAGAAAAATATACGAATTTAATTTACAGAAAGAAAAATAAATATATTTTACATAATATACAAAAGAAAAATTTAAATGGAATTTTTCACAATAAAAAGAAAAATTTCTTAGAAAAATATACAAATTAATTTATCAAAAAGAAAAATAAATACAATTCGTAACAGAAAAAAATTTAACGTGATTATAATATAGTCGAGCGAGTGTGTCTTGTCGCTAGGAGAACGAGGCGTTTTTGGTCAGACATGTATCATATGCAGCTAGGCACCTATATGATCTTTTTTACATGCAGATAAATTTAAGTTTTTCTTCGACTTTTAAAAAAATAACAAAAAAAAATTATTTGAATTTTTATAAAAAAAATAACAATTTTTTTTATAAACAAATTAATTTTTCTTATAACTTTAAACCCGATTTTTTTTTATTTTTACATACCTGGAAGTACTAAGGAACGATATGATCCTTTTTGTTAAAAAAATTGTTTTTTTTATATTTTAAGGATGTGTGATTATTATTATTATTATTATTTTTATTATCATATATTTTTATGATGAAATAATTGTTGACTAAAACGTTTTTAAAATAATGATTATTTCTAGAATGTCAAAATTTTCTTTTTAAAAAAAATAAAAATTTTTATATCTCAAAAAAAAAAATTATTTAATAATAATTAAAATAATTACTTAATGTACAAAGCAAAAGATAACATGAATTTCCAGTGTCAAAATAATAAAATATAAATTTGTCATTATATCATTTCTTACAGATATGTCTGACATTTTTCGAGTGGAAAATAATATTGGTCGTAAAATTAAAGTAGCATGGAGAAGACATAAATATTTGATAAATGCTGCTAAATTGTTAAATTCAAAATACTCATTGCAATTGCTAATTTGGTTATCAATTCTTTCTTTAAATTCAATATTACAAATTTATGAATTGGCAAAAGGCCATCAGGGAATTTATAGTAATGCTCGAGAAATGTTTCTTGCGTTATTGTTTATAATTCTCTTAACAGCACTGGCTGTCGTTTGTCATGTCACTGCTTATGAGGTGATATATATATATATATATATATATATATATATATATATATATATTTTATACAATAAATCTAAATTAAATATGTTTTAGGGGAATGTATCCATGAGTGGACCACCTTTTTATTTACTCAAATAATTTTTTTCAGTGAAGTAAATTTAAAAACTATAATACACCGTTGGATAGGTATTGTCCACAGCTATAACTTATATATATATATATGTGCCATTCCAGGAGTTTTTTAGCATTTTTCGGAGTAACCTTTCCAAATTAAATGAAACATTTTTTTAATAATATTTATTAATATAAAGGTCCAAAAAAATCACTTTTTAAGTAAAAACAATTGTTTATTTAAAAAATACAACAATAAATAATGCAAAAAATTCACTTTTTTCCTGCAACTCCAAATAAATTGGTTTAAAGATCAAAATTTTCCTTATTTTTCAAGCTTTAATACCGCACAAGAAACATTGAGTCCGAGAAAATATTCAACTCACAATTTTTTAAACAATGTTTGTTTACTTTTTTGTATTTTATTTACTGTGAAACGTCTGCTAAAGCTGCGCGCGACGTTTGGAAGTTGTCGCTTTCCTTATTGAGCAGAAGCTCATTACACTAGCGTAGTAAAAAACATGTTGTGTGAAAAGTGAGGTTTTTCATCCTTCAAAAATGTTTTTTATGATTTTTTACTGCAAAGTAGATAATTAAAAACCATTCAATGTGATAACCAGAAATTTTTACGTTTCGTTTAATGACAACATAACCTCACTTTTCGCACAACATGCTTTCTACTACGCTAGTGTAATGAGCTTCTGCTCAATAAGGAAAGCGACAACTTCCAATCGTCGCGCGCAGCTTTAGCAGACGTTTCACAGTAAATAAAATACAAAAAAGTAAACAGTTTAAAAAATTGTGAGTTGAATATTTTCTCGGAC